AGTTGTCTATATAAGAGGTTGCTAACTACGCTTTTGGCTTAGTTTCGATTCACCCGTTCAACGACAAACAACAAGCATCAATGACTGGTCGTGGCAAGGGCGGCAAAGGTCTTGGTAAAGGAGGCGCCAAGCGTTATCGGAAGTTCTGCGTGATAACATCCAGGGCCTGCTATCCGTCGTCTGACTCGACGTGGATATAATTTATATAGAGTAACCCATGATTCACCCATTCAATTTGTCAGTAAATACATCAAAATGATCCAAAAATCAAATAATTTGTTAGGGAAATAAATTATGTTCTATTTGCCGTCTTATCGGTGGGTTAAATTTATTCCGTTTCACTTTCATAAACTGAGAAATACTCATCGTATGCATTCTCCTGCTGCGCGACATCTTCGAAAACGTCCGAACCGTTAAATAATACAGAGTACAGAGAGTACAGACTAGAAAATCGAACAAAAATTTCGTAGTCCTAGGTCAACAATGCGGTCGTGTCTTGTACACCACCCTCCAACTTTTTTTTAATTGTGAGAACATTAATGCAGATCCATGAATTTCAAGAAAATTTTGTGAACTTAGATGAAGATCAGAGAACTTCACGACAGTTCCATTAACATCAAGAAAATTTCAGGAACTTCAAAAGAATTTCAAGAAACTTCGAATACTTCTCGTAAGGTCAAAGAGAATGTTCTTAGACCTTCAGGCTAGTTCTATTATTGTCTGGAAAATTATAGACACATGAGAGAAATTCAGAAAACTTCAGGAAAATTTTGAGAACTTCAGGACCGTTCGATTAACTTCAGAAAAAGTGTAGGAACTTTATAAATGTTCCAAGAATACAGTCCTAAAAATTTAAACGAAGTTATGAGCTCCTTAAGTATTAGAACTTAAAGAAAATTTTGAAAATTGGTGTCCATTAACGTTCCAATAGCATCTGAAAAATTGCGGAAAATTCTGAGAATTTCATGGAAATTTCATGAATTTAAATGAAGTTCCTGAAACTTAAACTGAAACATTCAGACCGACTCAAAATTGATTCGAGTCGACGCCATTTCGGCAAAAGTGGATTTACCCAAAAGTGAGTTGAGTTTTCGGGGCTTTCCCAGGAAAAACTCCTCGAATATGTGGAAAATCGATAGAGATGTCTCTCATTCTATTAGTAGGTATACGCCTAGACTGAGTAAAATTTTCGCGGATTTTCATCATATTCAAGAAGGTTTTCCTGGTTTACCACGGCTTTTGCCCGGAAAATTCAACTCGCTTTTGAGTAAATCCATTTTTGCTGAAATTGGGTTGACTCGATTTGAATGACCGTGTGTGATTTGAGGCCGTGCGCCAACTACAACAACTCAGCGACTAAATTTAATTGAATCAAGGCATTTTTTTTTGAAAAATCTGCAGTTACCCCAAATATGAGTAAATCTCGTATGGAAAGAAAATGCTGTGAGTAAATTGAATTCAGTCGCTGAGTTTTTGTTGTTGGCCGTGCAGCTCTCACCTTGTGCGAGTGGTGACCAGGCCTGAATATACTCATTGCAGCTAAAATGCTACTTTTCGAAATTATGTATCTATGAGATATTATAATAATAATTTGTGTATATAAGAAGCAAGTAGAGGAGGTAAAGTTTGTGTATGACATATAAAATCTGTCAATTTCGCTTCCAAAGTGTCACAATTAGCGATTAGCTATAACGAATAGTACTCGCTCATGATGATTACTCATTACAGCTAAAATAGCTGATTGTGACCCTATGAATACAAAATTGACTGGTTTTATGCATCTTACACAAACTTTATCTCTTCTTCTTGCATCTTACATATACAAAATATTACTATAATATCTCCTAGTTTCATAATTTCGAAAAGTAGTATTTTAGCTATAATGAGTATGTTCATGCCTGGTGGTGACAGGAAAAGCAAGAAGTAAACTAAAACTCAGCGAGAGAGAAAAACGAAAAAGAGCGAACTCATACCAGAGGGTGATTTGACAGCTCCGGATGACTGTTTTGTTCAATATGTTGAGCTCAGAGTTCATCCAGGGTGAGAGTAAGAGCGTGTGAAAGAAAGCATGAGTATTAAAGATACACCCAACCGGGGGATGTAAGATTCACTTACAATTATGTGGGATTCATCATCAGAGGATGTTAGTGGAGACCGCATGAACCGAGGATGCGATGTACCTAGCTGCGGTCCAATGCAAGAAAATTGGAAACCGAAAAATGTAGAGTGTATTAGTGAGGTAAATTAGTTAGTTATGTTGAAAAAAATAGGAAACAGACTGCCGACTGGACTCGAACCACGAACGAACGTTGCGATTACCAGTGCTTTCTCAACTGCTCTCTCCATGCTTCTGAATATGGATAGCCAAACATCAAGCGCTCATTTTCTCGCATACACGACTTGGTATGCTTTTTCTGCTGGAGAGATTCGAGACAAGTGTTTGCGTCGTTCTACAATGTTCTTCAATGTGCGTCGTTCTACAAGCTTACTGGTATAGTCAAAAGCGTAGATATAACACGAAATAAAAAAGACAACAAACCATTAAATCACCTGCATGGTCAATTTCTAACATTCGTTGCGATGTTCATGAACAGAGGATGATAGGAAACGGAACTAACATTCATCGTAATAGATTTTTGGTTTGCGTGTAGCTAACCTCACTTCCGTTTTATGCCCTCTAAGCGCGAGTCTCGGTGGGAAGATTTGTGTGAAGGGATTGTATGCTAAACTCAGGTCATTTTAGGCGCATGCATCGAAGCATGGAATTCTGCCCTTCCACCATCGTATAACCGCAGCAATTGCAACGAAAGTCGCTGCCTTTACCGCAATTACCTCTGGAAATGACAGGATCTTTCTCCTCGATGAGGGGAACAGACTCCTCCGCATGACTGCCAATTCGAAGGTCCCCCCAGTGGCCAAGGTCCACTGGTACGGAGACAAAAGTTGGCGCATATCTCTTCAAGGCTGGAGATAACTCTGCGGCGCTGAAGAGAACAATAGCCAAACTGCTAGGCTCGGACTACCCACATATACACAGACGGATCGCTTTCCCGAGCCAGGGTCGGAATTGGATTAGCCGGAATTTCAGCACCGATGAGTAGCAGCCTACCGCTACAATGCTCGGTTTTCTCCGCCGAAGCTGCGGCCATCTTTGTTGCCGTTACAACACCCTCAGACCGGCCCATACTGGTGCTATCCGATTCGTACAGCGTGATACAAGCCCTTACATCGGAGACCATGACTCACCCCTGGATACAGGGTATTGTGGAGGCCACACCTCCGAACACGGTGTTTTCCTGGATCCCTGGGCACTGCGGTATCCCAGGAAACAGCGAAGCCGACAGCCTGGCAGGGTCTGGACCAGCTGGCCCCCGTTACACCGACGAAGTGCCGCTACAGGACATAAAGCTATGGATAGTCAGCAAAATGTGGGAAGCCTGGGAAGCAGAGTGGTGCCAATCCCAATCCCTCTTCATCCGAAGAATCAAAGGAACGACGAGCAAGTGGACGGATATGTCGAAACTACGGGACCAGAAGGTGGTTTCTCGTCTTAGGACAGGCCATACAAGGATCTCACATAGTTTTGGTGGGACGCAGTTCCACAGAATATGCTACGTTTGCGGAACCACTGCATCGGTGGAACACATCCTATGCCTGTGTCCGCAATACCAACAACTACGGGAGCAGTACGCACTTCCCAACAGCATGCTTGGCATACACAGTTTTACACACCAACTGCTCATTTGTTAACAGCTTTTCACTAAGATGTTGAAATTAGGTTTTCTTTAAAGTAATTGATAGAGTAGGATCATAGTTTACTATAGACACGCCAAAAGTAGTTAAATCTTAACTTTTGAATCAACACTATTGAATTTTTAAACTAAAAGTACGAGATGTGTAGGAAGCATTTCTCACTTCATTTTGGCAATGCGAAAACAAACACAGCTGATTACTAGAACTAAAACCTACTATTTTTTACGTATTTATAACAAGCTTTAACTCTATTCTATTGAATACTTCAAAAAGAACTGAATTTCGTCTACTGTGTGCAAAGTTATTAGCAAATGAGCAGCTCGTGACCAAAAATGTGTATGCCAAGCATGCCCAACAGCAATAGAGACATACTGGGCGACGAACCTTCCACTTTAGTGACAGTTATTTATTTCCTCAAGGACGCTGGGTTATATAACAACATTTAGGTCCTTTTAACTTTCTTTTGGCTGACGGAACATCTCTACCGGACGAGGGGATTACCCCTCCTACGGTGGAGCTTCGATTTCTTTCAAAACCCTACCTAACTTTGATGTACCAGATTGTTTTTTTTTCTCGTTGCCTGTCTTTTTACTGGAATCGGTTTTAATTGCTTCTATTTGAGTACATGTGAATTGTAAGCCAACTACGTAACAAAATTTGCCGGCAGAACCCCCCTCTTGGGCCTCCCATTCTATAGAGATGAACTAGCCAACGGCTAAAAATCTCTCTAATAAAGTTTAAAAAATGTCATTTTTAAGGCTCGCTAAACTCATGTAACTTTTGGCATACAATTAAATCATAAAAGACGCAAAACTCAACTCTACCTTACGTTTTTTAGTTGTTCTGAAGAGAATCCTATGAAAAATCTTAGAAGAATTTCTAAAATATAATACTCTGAGGAAAGTTCCACAGGAGTTCTAAGGAGTGATTCTGGGAACTTATTATGAGAGGAAGGGATGTCCAAGGCAACACAGAGGATAATTCCAAAAGAAATTTCAGAAAATCTAAGGAGAATGTTAAAACAATCTTGAGTAGCATTTCAATGCCATTCTACGTGATTTGTACGGAAATTCTTAAATGATTTCAATAGTAATTTAAAAAAAAGCAAGATTCGTTAGGGAGTGGAAGCATAATGAAAAAGGCCATTTGCGCAGATTTTAAAGATTAACCACAAGCACTTATAAATTAACAATAAATTAATACAAATGAGCATGTAATTAATTTCGATTTTTTTTCCATCATTTCAGAACGACCCGTGTGGCGATAATTGGGGTGCTTAAGTGCATCAACGTGTCCATACAACTGCCGGCCGGATGAGCATTTCGTCGGACCAGCACCTATTGAATTCTTTACAGACTTACCGCTTTCGCCCTTCGGGGTGAAAAAAAAAATGAAATTTATAAATTTCGACCACAAAGAGGGTTTTTCCAAGGGACAGTACGATAATTAATGATCGTAATTTAATTTTCCACCAACGGCAGTAGTAGCTGAAACCGGCAAAAAGAATGCTGCTACAGTTGGGAAAATAGGGTACGCGAAAGAATTATCATGCCATAATAAATTATAGCAATTGATCGTAGCGAGATACGAACCCGAACGAATTCCACTGAACTCGCTTGGAGTTGTTGTATAGTTTGGAGAAAAAAAAACAATGATACAACACTCCCACCCGGATGGACAGTAGAAGGGCTGAGGAAAAAAGCTACAGTACTTCGCAGGATAAAAAGAGTACACACATCCGGTGCCTACCACGGTTACATACGGGAGCGGAATGTGTAAAAAATGGGTGTCGATACAACAGCGGGAAATAGCAGTTTGGCCGCTACATTTGCAGTAGGATGTGAATTGTGAAACAAGGATCAAGCAGCACCGGTCGGGGCCCACAATAGAGTGTTGGTCAAATAATAAACATACGTAGTAACGAGAGCACGACCGACACACACTCGACTCGGTTCCAACGTAGAATGGAGTGCACCCTTCTCGAACTGCAACTGCCTGTTAGTGAATGAAAACATATCAAATTGTTCGTGAAAACAGGAAAAATAGTGCGGTGAACGTGTTTTATTCGAATGCATATACCTATATGCAAGTGCATGTGGTCTGACCAGGGAGTGCATATACTGAACTAACATTCCGTAAAGAATCGATGCAATTGTTTCTGTGAGTGCAGTTCCAATTTACCAAAGAATGAAAAAAAAATTGAATGAATAAGCGGGTGGAAAAGTAATTTTAAATTTTAACTTGAATTTAATTGAATAACGATGAACGAGCGATCCGAGCGGGTATGTACATTCTTGCATTAGCTGCGTGTGACGCTTATTCGAGGAAAAAAAAAGAAAGTGGTAGTGAAAGAGTTCACCGAAAAAAAAAATCAATTTTCCATGCAATTTATTTTAAATTTGTGCGCTAAAGCGTAGCACAGTTGGAGCAGTTCTGGGCATACAGTGCAAGAAGAAAAAAAAGTTCAACTGAAACGAGAAATTGGCAGATATTGCATCAGACGGAGGAAACAGCAATAAAACAAAAACTTTCGTTTTTAATGCCAATTTGGAAAAATCGAAATAATCGAATCCGGAATCCTGCTGGTCAGCTCTACAAAACAGTCGTCAACGGTCACGGGGTAGTAGGGAGAAAACTTTCCCATCCAGTCAGCGTGTATAATTTATATCGTTGATGGTCGAACCAGCGAAACGATTTCAGTGTGCACCGGTTCCAGCAAATTGGATTTAAATGAAACAAATCGAACACGTGTCAGTGTAGAGGTGTCTCAAATATCGTGGTGAAGAAGTTGAACTAAATTGCTCGGGGTGTGGCGGTGCTGTAGGGTTATGGCACCGACTTCGTGTGGCCCTGGGAGGCCACCACCGCTGCCAGGTGGCGGCGGTAGCGGATGGCGACGACGGCGGCGATCAACGGCGAACCCGCTGATGCTGGTCCAATGCTGGACCCTTCTGCTGGTGGTGACGGGGATCCTGGCGATCGACCTGCATACCGTCAATGCCGAGAAAACAAAAGCCTGTAAGTAATTTGAATGTTTATCACTTTGAAGAATCGCATTTTGAGTCTGTTCCTAAGTAGGATAGTTTGTTATGAACAGGAACAACCGTCTGGACGTTGTCGCCGAGCACCACAAATCTTTTTTGATGTGTATAATGGGGCACCGTCCATTCTTATTGTACAGGTTTCAGAGCCTCCATTTTTTAAAGATCAATAACGACCACGTCCTTACAATCAACAGTTGGTAAGGATTTTTAGAGCGACTTTTATTGTTTTGGGGACCGTGTTTACCTCTACGTGAACGCACAGTTAGCCTAGTCAGTAAAGATACGGTATTACCAAGCTGCAGACGTCTGGTTCTATGACCGGTCTGGTCGAGGAATTATTTCGGGTTTTGAATTTTCTTGACTTCCCTGGCCATGGAGAGCATCATTATGCTATAATATACAAATTCACGCATGATGGTTGGCATGAAAAGCTCTCAATTAATAACATCTAAAACACTAAGTTGAGAATCGGAAAAACACTCGCGACAGAAGTGTAAACAGTCTAGAAGAAGAAGAATAAGTTTATCTCCCTGAGGACTGGAGATGAGATTTTGTTAGCTGGTTGGTTTCATCAGGATCAGGATGGATACTCGGTTAGGATGGCCCAAAATAACACTTTGTCACCAAACCTGGAGGCCTACTCTCCATATGGTTAAAGGTTATTAAGAAAAAAAAACTGATGAACATTTTAACCTAATAGACGATGACTAAAAGAAGGGAAAACTCCAATAGATTAATACAAAATTACTAATAAACCTGCTTGACTAGGAGACAAGTGGAAAGCAGCAATAGAAAATACTCAATACAAAGCAACAATGCTGAATTTTACTTGTAATGTACACATTGATCGCAAAAACACGTTTTTTTTTATTTCCACAGACGAGGGTTTCATTGTGATCGAGTGTACCCCATTAGGCATAAATACGTTAGGCATACGGACGTTAGGCATACGGACGTTAGGCATAATGGACGTTAGGCATAAAGTCATTAGGCATAATGGACGTTAGGCATAATATACGTTAAGCATAATGGACGTTAGGCATAAAATACCTTGCTGTTGTGCAACTCTAGAAACCTGCTTAACCTGTAAACCTGTAAACAATGCTTAAATTAGGCTTAGCGTTGAATAAAAAATGATACAAGTTAAACAAACATAGTTTATTTAATAAGCACAGTTTGGAATCCATTATTTATCATATCATAAGTGACGTATCTACATATTTACTTAGATCCATGATTAGTAGCGATAGTGGTTAAGTAATCTTACAATGAAAACTTAGCTTAGTTTTGAACTATATCTTGAAATCAATCGCATCTAGAAATAAAAAAATCACACATTTGTTGTAATATATTCTTACACACTTATTGCAAAAGTCAAAGAAAAAAAGGTTTTCCTCAAAGAACAGCTCATGAAATAAAGAATGGTGAATTCTGTGATTTTTCATTCAATAACAAAAAAACAGCCAAGGTTGAATAAAATATGATGCCAAAGAACAGCTCATGAAATCAAGAGTGGTTGATTCTGTGGTTTTTCATTCAATAACAAAAAAACATACCTGCTGCTTCCAGGATTTCCTGCCATACTTTTCGATACAACGATTCTGATTTTGTTGTCATCAGAATGAAAACTAGCGGAACCGTCTGCTTATGTGAGGGAGCGATACTTCCATGAACAGTGACGAGTTGCTGAAACAAACAAGGAACTGTGGCAAACGTACCATCTGTAACCCAATACTTTGCCTGTCCAAGACGTCGTTCATGAGTTCCAAAAATTAAGGCTCTTTCATTATTGTCACCGAAGTCAGCAATCAATAGACGGTCTCCATTATCATCCTTCTGGAATTTATCCGGTAGATTATGCCTAACGTCCATTATGCCTAACGTCCTTTATGTCCAACGTCCATTATGCCTATCGTACATTATGCCTAGCGTCCGTATGCCTAACGTACGTATGCCTAACGTCCGTATGCCTAACGACCGTATGCCTAACGTCGTGCATCCATTGTGATCATAACCAAGTGTATTCCTAATAAATATCTACGTTACATTTACATATTTTAAGATATTTTAACCAAATATATGTTTTGGCCAAATGTCATCCCACACAAGGTTTTACATTGGTCTAATTTGAATTTAATTTTAGTAAAATGAGAAACCAATTTCAATCAACCATTTTGATGACAGTCGTAAATATATAATTGATAAATATATTCACATGCATAAAATTGTGTTCCTTGCTAAAATGTGAATGTTGTCAGGAAGGTAACGAAAGTTTTTGATTTTTTGGCCCAATGTCACTCCACTTACGGTACTTCGAGATATTTAATTGGAACAATTAAATATCGACAATTAAGTATTAATTAGTCAAGGTTTTTTATTGCTCGAACATATATATTTTCTCTTGTTATTTTTGAGTTTCATTTCAAAGTTCGCGTAGGTAGGAAATGAAATTGTCAACTGATCGAATGAAGTCTTTTATTAGCTGTCCGTTTAACAAAATAATTGCTCTATCACCGTCAAGATAAATATAAACCGTAAGTCTTGAATATTTCATTTAAAAATCATCTTCAATTATTCATGTTTAGTATAAATTCTGAGTAATTTGTGAACATAACAAAACACCGACCTAGATTTGGTGAAACATTATTTTCATTTGAAATGAAAATTAACCTTTGCGTCTCTGACGTATTTTGCTGTCCTAAATGTAGTTAATTTGGTTCTAGTTTTCTTTTTTTTACCGATTCAAAACAAACATCCTGCACATAATCGAGAAATTACCAGAGCTTTATAAATCACATTTGTTGGTCACGTTGCGGTTGTGTATTTACACTGATATTCCCACACGGTCTGTCCAGTGGTGAGACAATTTCATGATATTTTTTTTTTATTTCTAATATGAACCTAGCACTTTTCGTTGTCAAATCATAACCGAATCGTATATATGTGACTTTGTTGATCATGTACGACTTATTACTATGTATACCGGAAATTATAGGTGTTTCGAATCGTCCAGGACATCAGTTGATTTGTTCTACTAGACCAAGACTGCAATAATGTCTGTAGTATCGAAAAATGTCCAATCAAATTCAATGTGTCTATGTGGATCATGCATGATCTATTTCCGAGTAATCCAGATGTTCAAGGTTCTTCACATCGTTCTGGAGTTCAGATAATTTGATCTACTAGATCAACCGAGATTGGGACAATGTCTTTAGTATCGAAATATTTCCAGACAGATGCACAGTGTCTATGTGGATCATGCATGAACTATTGTCATGTATACCAGATGTTTTAAGTTCTTCAAATCGTTCTGGAGTTCAGATGATTTATCTTACTAGATCAACCATGACTGGGATAAAGTCTGTAGTATTGAAATATGTCCAAACAGATTCATAGTGTATATATGGATAATGTTTAATTATTTCCACGTATACCAGATGATCTAGGTTCTCCAAATCGTCCTGCAGTTCAGATGATTTGTTTTACTAGATCAACAAAGACTAGGATAATATCTGTAGTATCGAAATATCGGCATACAATTTGGCATACACGGAAATAGGTTGGCATGACCCACATAGACACTGCAAACTGCAGATATTGAATTAGTCGTGGGTGATCTATCAGAAAAATAATCTGATCTCCAGAATGATTTCAGAACCTATAACATCTTGAATACGTAGCAATAGGTCGGGTACAATCCACATAGACGCATTGAATCTGTTTGGACATATATCGATACTACAGACATTATTGCAGTCTTGGATGATATAGTAGAACAAATCAACTGATCTCTAGGACGATTTGGTGAACCTAGAATATGCGGCATACATGGCAATTACTCGCATACATACGATTCGTTTATGATTTGACAACGACAAATGCTATGTTCATATTGGAAAAAAAGGAAAATTTCTCACATTGGACAGACCTCAGGGAATTTCCGTTTAAATCCGGTGTGACTTATGGAATTGAGATCATTTCTTGATTATTTGCAGGGTGTTTGGTTTGAATCGGTAAAAAAATGAGAGCCAAATGAACAACAAAATTGATGACAGCACATCAGTGCCTTCGCGATTTTCGTGACATCATTTAATAATTCCGCGATTTTCGCGACTGAATGTTCAAATCCGCGACAAATCGCGAAATCCGCGCCTTTTGTAATAGCCTTGACAATGGCTTACGAGTTAAGGAGATACAATGGATTTTATGACAATTGTAGTTGTACAACAGTTTATGAAAAAATATAAAAAATACGACCCACACTAGCATTACTGTCCCGAAATTAACAAACAAAATGCCAATGCAAATAATTTAATTCCAGTGGACACTACGCACGCATTTAAACACTTGTAGCACTGCCACAACAAACGAGCATTTTCGCACCGTTTAAATCTATCGTTTTCGCTGTTTGACATAATGATGGTGCGATAAATTAGCAACCATGGAGCGCACCAATGATTAACAGTTCGATTTTCAGCAATACAGCTGAACGGAAATTCAATCTTGATACACAATAATAATAATTGCTCACTGTCTGTGCACAGAGAGCACTTGGCTTCGTGTCGGTTTGATTATTTTAAATTACATAAATTTTGATTATTTATATGTGGCAAAAGGCTCCGGCATCCATCCAACACCCAACAGTGCCATGCTGCATTGTGCTGTATCAAGAGGATGTGGGGGGGATGGAAGGCGTAGAAATCCACATCAAACATTGTGGAGGATATTTATAACCCAGCTCGTTAATTGAATCCCATTGCGATGCACATAATTAAAACGTAATAAATCGCACCAATTTGCGGCGACGAAATCACCGAGCTAAAGTTCGTGAATATTTGATATTTCGTTTCACACGCACTCACACATGATTCGACTCTTATTTTTTAGTCGCCAAAACGAGGCGGTAGAAGTGGGTTGGTTTTTTTTGTGGGTTCGGTCTTCCGTTTATGGGGAGGACGCATGGTCGTTTGTTCG